TGTAACTTCGGGATGAGCTTATATCTTTAAAAATGTCAATAGTTCACAAGATACAAGGTCATTTCTTAATTATTTATCTAGAGATAGAGCATTTTCGAATTAAAATTTTATGTAATTCAGGACGAACAACAAAAACTTTCTGCGGTACTCCAGAATATCTAGCACCGGAAGTCCTAGAAGACAACGACTATGGTCGAGCAGTAGATTGGTGGGGTGTTGGAGTTGTAATGTACGAGATGATGTTAGGACGTCTTCCATTTTATAACCACGATCATGAAAAATTATTCACTTTAATCTTACTGGAGGAAGTTAAATTCCCAAGATTTGTCTCTAATGAGGCCAGAGATTTATTATCAGGTAATAAAAATAGTTACTGATTAATGAAAAAAAAAAAAAACTAGCAACCTTGCAACCGTGACATGAAAATTTTGCTTTTTTAAATAATAACTTTTGTTAAATTACACTGTACTTTTTAAACTATTGACTTTTTTAAAGATATAAGCTCATTTCGATGTTACACTCATCAAGAGCTTTCATTTGAGTACCCACATCAATTTTTCATATATTTATATATATGTATATATGAAAAATATATCAAAATGAGCTTATATCTTAAAAAATGTCAATAGTTCTCAAGATACAAGGTCATTTCTTAATATAGATGAATAAAATAATTTTATGTCGAATTTTCAGGCTTATTGATAAAAGACCCAGGTCGGCGGTTAGGTGGCGGACCCAACGACGCCAAAGACATAATGAGCCACGCGTTCTTCTCTTCAATCGACTGGTCGGACCTGGTGCAAAAGAAAATACCTCCGCCGTTCAAACCTCAAGTCTCCTCAGACACAGATACTCGTTACTTTGACAGTCAATTTACTGGCGCAAGTGTCGAACTTACTCCGCCGGATCAGGGCCCGGGGAGCGCTGGGCTCAACTCCATCGCCGAAGAACAAGAACACTTTCCACAATTTTCTTATCAAGATAGTCATTCTGCTGCTACTTCTATTTCCGTATCTATTAATCACTGACACACATTTATTAGCAATATTTAATTAACCGAGTATTTTTTTTTTTTTCATATATTATCATTGAAATGTTTTAAAAATACTCGGTTAATTTATTTATAAATATTCAAATTTAGGTATTAAGCCTTGAAAAAAAAAATTTAATCATTTTTTTTTATTATAAAATTATAAAATATTTATTCATTCATTTAATTCATTTACTCATAAATTTATTTTTTTTTTAATCTCGTGCTTTTTAAGTTGAAAAATAATTTTGGTAATTTTCGATAAAATTTTAGTCCAAAAAAAAAAATCAACTTAAAATCTTTAGATTAAAAAAAAAAAATTAAATTATTTTTTTATTAAAAAAATTCGGTTTTTTTTTTTTTTTTTTCAATAACAGAGAGACTGATTTGACATGAAACTAAAAATAAAACGAAATTAATTTTTTCAATTAAACAATAGATAATAAACAATAGAATTAAAAAAAAATAATAATTGTACATAATATTGAAGAAATGAATAATAATTTAAGTTTGCTGTAATTTTTTTTTCGTCTGTATTTTTTATGTCTAATTGTAAGTAAAATTATTACCTATAATTGGGTATAAAATTAATTAATCATCTTGTATTTCTAGGAAGAATTTGTATAATTACTTAGGAAAGATTTGAGTAATTAATTAATTTATTCATAAAAAAAAAAAATAAATATAGCCGAAAGAAAAAATTGCATTTTTAATAATTGCTTGATTAAAAAATATGGTTTAAAATTAACCTTGAGAAATTATTAAAATTAATCAATCTAAATATATATGTATATTACTGGCTAAGTAATTATAGTTAATGTAATAAAATATATGATTATTAAATATATTTATATTTTAACAATTACAACACTAAAAATCATTTTTAACTTAAATTTATTTATTTTTTAAAGATATGTCAATTATAATTATTAATAATTCATTATTATTATTATTATTATTATTATTATTGTTATTAATCTGTCAAGTCTGGATAATTCGGTAAAGGTTTGTCTTTAATTAACCACAAAGTGTCGATGAAAGCGCCATTTTTATCATCAGAAATCTGTAAATATAAATACATTATTAATATCACTTTCATATAATTAATAATTTAAAAAATGTAATTTTGGTCTTACCTGCTCTATGTACATGTGAGTTTTATTGAATACTTTCATTCGGGTGTATCCGTAATCAGAACTTCGAAATGCTGACCAATATGGCCGCTTAGGTACGAATTTTTCCCTGCCTTCTTTACAACCAGCTGATCCTGTTACGATGTGCACTGGTGCTTTGTAATTTTTGTAAGGTTGTTGGTAACTACCATTATACACCTTTAAATTATTTTAATTAAATTAGCTGACATTTAAAAATTTTTAGAATTTTTTTATTAAAAAAAAAAAAATTAACAATGTCGGCTAACTTTAATATTATCTTTAAATTTAATTTTTTTGTAATAATAATAATTATTATGAATATTTATAATAATAAATAAATTTATAAGTTTGAAAGTATTTGTATTATAATTTTACTGAGAAGTACTGTAAAAATAATTGGCGCTAGTGTCGGTTTCTAATTTCAAATCTTAACCTAAAACTGTACCTTGAAGTTGTACATCGGCCACATGCGCTCGTAGCTGTGTTCATGAGCCCAAATTTCTAGATCTACTTTGTGTTGATAGAACAATTTTTCTAGACCAAACCAATCTAGAAACGGTAAACCCACTCGGACTAGTGACTCGTGATTCGTACAGTCGTCCGCGTTTTTATTACTGCAGTACATTGGCCGGTGACCGAATGTTACGATCCAGGGTCTTTTTGCTCTAATTAAAAAAATTTATTAATTCATTAGGTTTTACTCTAAGTGTCTAGAAAATTGTTTTAATTACCTGTTTTCGGGTTTGTTAGCTTCTTTTAGATCTTGGTCAAGCCATTCATATTGTTTGACTAGTTGCTTGATCCCGTAGTTCATAAAATAATACGCTTCTGTTTCAATCGCGATAAAATGTACCGGGCCCATATTAAAACTGTACCATAAACCTTCTGAATTGCCTGGCATGGAAAATCTTGCTCTGATAAGTAAACAAAATTTTTTTTTATATATCAAAGCTAATCTCAAAATATTAAAAAAAAATTTCTAAATTCAATTAATTGCTAAGCTAACCTTAAAAAAAAATATTTAAAAACATTTTTTAAAGAAAATTTTAATTAAAAATAAAGTTTTAAACTTTATAATTGTGAAACTAACCTCAAAAATTAAAACAAAGTGTTGTAAAAAATTACCTGTAATTACTAAAATTATATTTTTCTTCATGATTACCAGGAACAGTCATATAAGGTAAGTAAGCAGCAACACTTTCAATTTGCCTCATAAATTCATCTCCAACTCTTGCGTCGTCAGTGTTCATATCATACGCGAAATCTCCGACATGAATCGCAGCGTCATACAATCCTTTCTGAGTATCTTCTTGCAACCGCGCTAAACTTTGAGCATTCTCGTTACCCATGTCACCGAAAATCACTATCTGGGGCTTCCAGGTCTCGCTGTCTGGAGGAATCCTCACGTAGAAGGCGTTCGACCATCCCAGGTCGCTTCCACAGTGATAAACTATTTTAAAAATTTTTATTTTCAATAAAATTCAAATTTTCAGAGATTTTTTTGGACAAAATTTGAGTAATTTAAAATACTTACTGTATTTAGCACTAGGTTTTAAATCCTTTAAATAAACCCTGTGAATAAACTGCTCGCGTTTCTTGTTTCCTCCATCAACAAACCGTGTTCGCGTACCTTTAGAGCGCGTTATGAAACCATCGATCCCGTACTCTACTATTGATTCCTTGGTGTCATTTTTCGTGCTCCATGTTACCACCAGGTCATTTATTTTTTCTGAGTTTTAAAATTAACACATTATTATAAATAATTTTAATAATTCTAAAGTTAGAAATTTCTTTTTATTTATTAAATTGGAATAAAATATTTTTTTTAATTGCACTTAAAGTTTTTTACAAATGACATTTTTTTTTACAATGAAAAAAATACTTGTAATAATTTTTATTAATTTTCAAAAATTTTTCAATTACATTTTTTTTATAATAAAAATTAATAGCTACAAAATTATAAAAAAAAAAAATTATTAATGTCTGTCAACTTAATATAAATTTATTAAAAATAATTTAATACCTCCATAAGACAAATGCACAGCTTCAGGCTGATAATGAATTACATCCGCAGATGTTATTGTTGACAACACTAAAACAATCAGTCCACTTAGCAACATTTTTATCTCAAAGTTCTTCACTGGTACAAACTGAAACACAAAGTCATATTAATAATAATAATAATAATAATAATAAATTAAATTAATAATTATTAAAAAAAAAAAAAAAGCAATTACTTTAATTATTCATAGTCAAAAAAATAAAATTTATTAAAATTCCAGAGAAGAAAATTTATCACTTAGATAAAAATAAAATATTACAATTTTTTTTTAAAAATACTCCGATGCTATTATTCTTGCGTGTATCAGCACTACTGTCAAGTATCGATGTTTATATAAGTATATATATAAACATATCACATATATATATGTGCTTGTAAATGTATATATGTTGGACTATATCTATCTCCTTTGTGGCTATTTAATCTTCAGTTTATTTATGGCCTGAATAATGAGAATTATCTTCTCTGTTAGCAAGAAAAAATTTAATTGTTTATTAGAATTTTTTTTGTTTTAATGTTAATAAGCCAATGACAAGTAATATTTAAATCTGACAATTTTATTTTTTTCTAATTCTGTGAGAATCGATAGGTCGATAACGTTGATTTTAATTTAGAAGAAATAAATAGAGACATCTAGTGAATTTTAAAGAAAGTTTTAAAGATTCTGGTGAAGATAAAGTGGCTATCTGTTTTTTTTTCCTGGGAAAAACTCTGAAGAACCAAAAGAACATGAAAGAACTTGATTAAAAATTGTTTATTTCTTCTGGAAGAAATATAAGACTTAATTTTTAATTAATACAATTACAAGAAAATTAATAAATGAAGAAATATTATGAAAATAAAGTTAGCCGACATCTAAAAATTTTTTTTATTAAAGAATTATTACAAAAAAGTAAAAAAAAAATTTTTTCATTTGTTAAAAACTTGAAAAACTATCAGTGCAATTTTTTATAAATATTTTTTAGTTATAATTTAATAAATTAAGTAAAATAAAAAAATCAAAAATGTCGGCTAACTTTATTAAGGTAGAAATATTTATAAATATTATAAAATTCTTTAAAAACATTTTAAATTGATTGTCTTCAAAGATTTTTTTCTTCAATCAAATTAATTTTTTTATAAATGCTAAATAATTAATTTAATAAACTTAGCAAGAGGGCGCTGTTGTCGCTTCCAGTGACATGTTTATATTTGAGCTGCCGGCTAACCTAATAGTTTGTTTTTCTGCAAGAAAAAGTTGAGTTAAATATATTTTTAGTGTCAAAGTTATTTTATATATATTTTTAAAATTAGTTAATTAATTTACCTGTTTATTATATACTGTCTGACAATTAAACATAACCTTATTTAGGTAAGTAATATTTTAAATATAATTAAAATCATTAATTACTTAAAATTATTTTAATTTAATTTAATAATTAATGAGAATTTTTTTAGAACCTAGGAAGAAATGGCGCTTGATAGATGGTCTCTAGGATACCTAGCCTACGAATTAATCACCAGGAAAATAAAAAAAGGAAGAATGGACGTGAACGAGAAGTTAGAGTTTATTTTATACGAAACTCCGACCATTTTGCACTTTGCAATTTATTTAGACGACGACAAGTTTGTTGGTTACCTGCTGAAGAACAACGCGAACATCAACATTAATTGCGTCAACTGGGGAACTGCTTTGCACGTCGCCGTCAGTATGAACAAGAGAAAACTAGTGAGAACATTAGTAAGCAGGGGTGCTGATGTTAATGTTCGCGCTCTGGGAGTCCATTTTACTCCGTTGCACCTTGCGGTTCAAAACGGCTGCCATGACATTGCCAAGTTTCTTATTAATTGCGGCGCTAATACCGACGCGGTGTATTTTGTTAAAATTGAGAATAAAATAGCGGAAAAAAATATTTTGCAAGTTGCGATGAAGAAAAAGGATGAAAAAATGGTCGGGATTTTATTAGAGAGCGGAGTTTTTTGTAGTTGGAGTAATGCGTCGCCATTTTGGGGAAGTTTTAGTCTTTTAAGAGAGTGTTAGGATTTAATTATTTATTTAAAAAATTTTTAAACCTAAAAAAACTATTTAATTAGAGAATGTAAATTTTAATTATTTTTTTTTTTTTTTTTTATTATTTATAATAATTTAAGTGTAAATATTTGTTAGATTATTTAAAATGTCGTTCCACCATTTTATAGTTTAAAAATTTTAATTGTAAAAAATTTTTTTAATTAATTTTTAATTATAAATTCCGATTTAAAAAATTTTAAATGAAAAAATTTAATTTATTAAAGACAATAATTTTAATATAAACTTTAAAAATTATTAAAATAAATTTCGGGTATCTTCGGCTACGCTCGGAAATATTTTTCTGCTCTATCATTAGAAAAAAAAAATAAAGTTCATTTCTAATCACGTTTCCAAACTAGCTTTATAAATTTTCAACCAGATGTCGTGAACATCGCTGCCCAAAAGAGCAGCGTCAAAAACTCAGGCCTACGTATTCACTCTTTTGCTCTTTTTAAGTATAAATGGAAAATATGAGACGGAACTATGAAACTTTATCGAGAATTTTCTATAAGGGACTCTACATAGTTCAAAATGTAATCAAAATTATAAAATTGTGTATATTTAGTGAATAATGGAAAAACAGTACTTCTTTTTTCTGTTATAGTGCAATAGTGTGATCAATGACCAAGAAGTTGCTGGAATAATTTTCTTTTTAGTTTATATATAAAAATTGAAGGTAGGTATTGAAAATTTATTATTCAACCACGTGATTTTGTTTCTAAGTCTTTTGAAAATTCTTTTATCAATGCGGTGTGTATATTAATAAAATTTGTGTGCAGTTTAATTTGATGAATCTCAAAATTGTTGATGATGTGGATTTTTTTATTAATTATAAATTTTTGTATTTTTTTCCAAACAATTTGTAAAAATATTAATAAAATTGTATAGTATATTTTAGTTTTGTTAAATTAGTCACAATATTTTTTACACAGCAAAAAATTGCATTAATTATACCACAATAATAATTGAAAATTAATTTTAATAATTTTCTATATTAGTTAATAATAATTTAGAATATAGATAATAATAATTTAATTTATAAAAAAATTCGACAAGAAAATTAATCTATATTATTAAGAGAATAAGAAAAATTTTGTTCCCAAGATAGTCATACGATAAAATCGGTTTTTTTTTTTTTTGAAATTTAGTGTCATTGCAAAGACCTTGATTTGAATAATTAAGAAATGACCTTGTATCTTGTCAACTATTGACATTTTTAAAGATATAAGCTCATCCTGACATTATACCAATCGAGACCTTTCATTTGAGTACCCACATCAATTTTTCATATATTTTATATATTTATATATATGACATTATACCAATCGAGACCTTTCATTTGAGTACCCACATCAATTTTTCATATATTTATATATATATATATATAAAGAAGGCATGTGGATACTCAAATGAAAGCTCTTGATGAGTGTTACATCAAGATTAGCTTATATCTTTAAAATATTATATATTATATATATTACATATTTAAGAAATTACCTTGTATATTGTAAACTATTAATATTTTTAAAGATATAAGCTCATCCTGACATAATACTAATCGAGACCTTTCATTTGAGTACCCACATCAATTTTTCATATATTTATATATATTATATATATATATATATATATATATATGTATATGTATATATGAAAAATATATCAAAAATTGATGTGGGTATTCAAATGAAAGCTTTTAATGAAAGTAACATCAGGATGATCTTATATCTTTAAAAATGTCAACATTTAAGATAATACAGTGCAATTTAATAAAAGTCATTATTTAATAAAGCAAAATTTCATTTATTTATATTTAACCAGTCACGGCAGTCACGTAGTGACTGCAAGTTGTTTATAAATTTTAATATTAACATAAAAATGTTTTCCAGTTGAATAAAATTTCAATCTTCCGCTGCAGCCCTTAAAATAAACCTCAACAATGTGGAAACTTCACATCAACACTGGAAAATGGTTTTACACATACGAGCAGCTATCAAACACCCCCAGCAGAAGACACGGAATAGAACCAGAAAGAGAGATGAGGTACCGCCAAGAATCAGCAAGCTTGATCTTCGACGCGGGCCAGCACCTGGAGCTATCAATAGGAATAATAAACACCGCAGTGGTTTACATGCACAGGTTCTATATGTACCACTCCTTCTTGAAGTTTCATCGCTACTCCATCGCTTGCACTGCAGTTTTCTTAGCCGCAAAAGTAGGAGATGACTTTAAAAAATACAGCGAAGTGTTTGGAGCTTGCAAAAAGTGCTTTGACACCAACGGAGTCACCATGGAGAACATCAAGGACTGGAGACTGGATCCAGAGAACATCTTCTTCAATGAAGACGTGATGCTCCAGACCCTGGGGTTCGAGATAGACATCGAGCATCCGCACACACATATAATCAAGTGTCTTAAATTTATAAACGCTGACAAGAACGAAGACATCAGCAGGACTTCTTATCTTTTAGCTACCCAGATGACGCATTTAACAACTTTTTCTCTTTACTTCAAGCCCTCGGTCATTGCTTGTGTTGCTATTTACACTGCCTTGAAGTGGACCAACTGGAAGATTCCTCCAAGTGATGAGGGCAAAGAGTGGTACTCGTATGTCGACCCTAATGTCACTGTTTCGATGATGGACGAACTGGTCCTGGTGTTCTTGGAGATCTATCGCAAATCTCAGTGCAGGATGAAGAGGATTATCAATGCTATTCATGAAAAGCACGCCAAGAGGCATAAAAAAATTAGTCCACAGGAATACATGAACAGAAAGCCAAGCAATAATCAAGTGAACCCTGAACCTGCTTCCAGAGTTCCTCTTCACATGACTCTACCTAAATTTGGTGTCAGAACTGAAGCAAGCAATGCCATGCAAGTTGACGATAACAATTTAGCAAAAGCTAGATATCATAGAAATGATAGAGCTAGAAATAATTAATTAGTTAGGACTAATTATTGTGATGAAAGGTTGCAATATTGATAAGCAATAATACAACTATTTTTAAAGATTAATTTCTTGAGGTTCAATTTAATTTGTAAATAATAGCTAATTATTGAATTTTAAATTTTGACTAAAAGATTTAAAATTTAATTAGATAAATAATTCAATTTTAATTAATTAAATAATTTTTAAATTATCAAAATTTTAGAATTATTGCTTTGAAACTAAGACTGGAATATTAAAAAATTTAGGTATTAATTAAGACTTGTTTGTTACTAAGTTGCTGTTTTTTATATAAATATTCATTTGAATTTTTGTAACTTTTAAAAATGAATTTTTCGATTTGTAAGATACTCTAATAGATAAAAAAAAAAAAAAAAAAAAAAAAATGGTAATGTGCTTTACGTGAGTGAAAAGTTTAAGATTTTATCAGTAATTATTTATTCATAATTGTTTATAAAAATAAGTAGGTTGTAATTTAATAAAATTTTTATAAACTTTTTGTTGGTATCTTTTAAAATAAATATTTTCCACCAATATATTTTTTTAATTAATTATTTTAAATGTTATTAACAACTTAAACATTTTTAATTAATTATCTTAAGTAATTTCTTCTAATTATTATTATTATAAGAAGCTAAAGATGTAGTTCTTCAGGCCGCAGGCCTAGAGCAGGGTATATCCAATCATATTCTTCCTTTATTAACTTAATTTGTTTTTAAAGTACTAAATAATTAAAAATAATTTTTTCTCTTTTAAATTTTAGTGTTATTATTTTTAATAATAAATTTACTTTTTGCAGGATTTTTAATGTACCAAGTATAAATCTCAACAACAAGATGGCGGTAGTCCTTTCACACTTTAGGAAGAATACATTAGCGCCACGACACCAACTAAAGGTAAATTTCTTCTTAACCTAATTGATTTTTTTTTTTTTTTTTTATTTTTTATGATCTTTTCTATAATAAAAATTGTTTTGCAAAATTTAATAATTCTTCTTTTGCAAAAAAATGTTTAAAAAAATATAAAGAAGAATATTGTTATAAATTTTGATATAATATAATTAATGATAATAATTTGAATTACTTGTTGATAGTAAAGAAGAATAATTTAAATTGCAAAAAACCGCCCCTGTGTTAAAAGGTAAAGAAACTCGCGTAAAAATAATAATTACGCATGCGTATTACCTAAAAATAAGTGCGCAAACTCAAATATATTTTATTTTGCGCCCTGATAGGGGTTGTGTTCTATGTAGTGTATAGTAGAGTGTCATCAAAAAGGGATGATAGTGTCTCGTAGATTAATTTTTTTCATCCCGGGGTGTTCAGTGGCAACCGTGGTGCCTTTTCGGTTTGTGCGACTTAATTAATATGATTATCTCTAAAAATAATAAAAAAACTAGCCAGATAAATAAATACAATGTTTATAATTGTAAAAATTATTACTCTCACAGTATCAGTTGAGTGTTTTGATAAGATGGAACGGGAATTTATATTCAAAATAAATTAATAATGTGCCAAAAAGTGAAAATTTAATTCAACAAATTTAATTTTAAATTTTTTTTTGGATCATTGGTTATTTTTATCGGTAAATCTTTCGGGATTTTTTTTTATGGGGAGTCTATGGAGTAGATTAAATTGATTAGAAATTTTTTTAACATGTCCAGCACAATATATCTGGATAATAGATCAATAAATTTATTATTCAAGGACTGTCTTAATATAGAAAGTTTCTATTAGAATTTTTTTATTTTTAGATCTATTATTATTCATTCTTATGAATAATATATTTTTATTAGTTAAATTGTTTTTAATTGTGAAGCAAAATTAAAATTTTCAATAAATTTATTTTTCTTTTAAAAAATATTAATTTAAATACATTTTTTATTTAATAATAATTTTAATAAAATTCTATAATTTTTTAATGAAAAAAAAGTTAGCCGACATTTCATAAATTTAGAAATTTTTTATTGAAAAAAATTCAATTAAACAATTAATAAAAAAAATCAAAAATTTTTAGACGTCTGCTAACTTCAGTATCATATTTTTTACATTAATTAAAAATTAAAGTTTTCTTCACAAAAAAAATATTAATTATTAGCTTCACACCCTAGTACATTCCTTGAAGTAATAAAATATATTTCTAATTTCCCGGTTTGCTAATTATTATAAAAGAAGTAAACAATAATGCGTCGCCGTGAAAGCGCGCGCATCCTTCTGCCCAATTGTCCATCGGTTGTGGTCGTTATCGCCGTTATTGCTCAACTCTGATCATTTACAAATGAAAGACAGCTAACTATAACTGCAAATAGGGCTATAGGGCACAGGGTAGATTAATAACCCATATATACACCACCCACAACCCACCCCGTCCCTGGGTAAAATTCCTAAAACGCCCAAAAATATTTTACAGATTGAAATAATTAATAATCGACGTCTTCCATGACGTCTTCCAGTTTTATTAAACTAACAATAGCCGTAATAAACAATAATTAAACCATGATTATTATTGTGATAAGTGAGTGGTGGACACGAAAATTTTTATCTAATTTTTATTGTGAAAATACTTGAATTTATTTTATATTTATATATTTTATATTTAATGAATGACACTTTTGATAGTGAATCCCCATTGGGGTGGAGTAATAAAGAGTTCAAGTACTCTTTTTATCTCAAGTACAAGTGGTTGCAATTAAAAACAAAAGTCCATTTTATTTTAGATTTCTTCTTTAGTTTTTTTTTAACCAAAAGTCGTTCATAGTTTAAGTGTTTTCATTTTTTAAATATTAATTATTAAAATGGTTGATCTCAGTGGATACGTCATCATCCTTATTAACGACAATGGAAAAATTAAATTATATGGTAAGATTTTTTTAAATAATATTTTATAATATAATAATAAAAAATCATAAAATTTTCTATCTTTATTTTCATTTTTCTAATATATATTAGAAATTGATTTTTTTACTTCATAGTTATTAAAGAAGAAATAGGTCATAAATTAATAATACTCGACGTAATACCTTTTTTTACGCTACGCCGCTAGTGGATATTAAAATTTCATCCTTCAATTACTTTTCAAGCTTCGGAATTGTTTTATTAATATTTTAATTAATATTTATTTCTTCTTTTTTTAGGATCCTCGGCTGACAATGCCGAGTATCCGGAAGTCAGCGATGAAATTCTGGAGGTCAACGGACGGACACTGGAAAATGCTACTGATACTGAAGTCAGTCAGCACATTCACCAGGTGATTTTTATTTTAATTTTTATTGTAAAAAAATTTTAAATATTGATCTAACCTCACTTTTTTTAATCTCTATAATTAGAATCGTATTTTTAGATTGATGATTGGTAAAATTCTGACGCTTGTTATCTAAATTCACTTTTTTTTTTTATTTCTATTGTACAATTAAAAAGTAGGCTTAATGTCACAGAATGAGCAGGTTATAAAAAAGGAATACAATTGGGAAGTGTAAATGGTAGTTTATTTAAAGGTTATGAGTTATGAATGAAGATCAATGGAAGAGATTATTTAAATATTTTTTACTTGTCAAGTATTTTAAATCATCAATTTTTAAACTCAATATATGACTAAAATATATTAATTTTCTTTAATAAATAAATTATGTCAAAAAAAAACATATTAAAAAAAATGAACTTTTTGAAATTTAATAAAATGAAAATGAAAAATGCATTTTTTTTAAAATAATTAATAATAATAATAAATAAATAAATATAATTTTTAATTGCAGTGCATCAGATCAGGAACAATTAGTCTTCAGGTGACTAGAAGAGCAGGCCACAAAATGAGTAAGTTCATAATTTTTAAACAAATAAATAAAACTAAAAAATACTGACATTAATTCGGGATGAAAATTAATTTACCAGATATTTAATAAATTTTTAACAAATTAATTACAATAAAAAAAAAATCCTTCTAATAATTTTTATTAATTTTCACATGTAGAACTTTTAAATTACATTTTTTTTTATAATAATTTAATTGTCATAAAATTATAAGAAAAATTTTTAATGTCATTTTTTTAAAATTAATTTAGTTGTTAAATAAATTAGTTCGGGTGTTTTCGCACTGGCTCGCGTTAGTCCGTAAACCTGGGACTCGTTAATGAAGTTCGGGTCAGTTCGGGTCCAATCGGTAAGAATCCTTCTCTCGATCTTGTCGGTCGTTTCCGTGAGTCACGATTCGAGGTAAATAGCTCACGAGTTTTCAGGTGAAAATAAAAATGACTGTATATACTACTCACATATATGATATGCACGGTGAATGTGTATTAGTTAAATAAAGATAATAAATAGTTTCCAGAATACAAGTGAGACGGAGATAAAAAATAATAGGTCAATTTGTATTGAATAGAATAAATACCGGTAAGGCGGGAATGCAACCTTCGAATGTTATTATATATTACCTTTACATACATATACCTGTACTACACTGTACGGTATCGTAGTATGGACTTTCATGTCGATGTACCATTACGCTGCCGTGATTCATTATTAAAAATTTTTAACGTCTAAATTCTCGTCTAATTATTTATTTATTTTTTTTGCGCGCAAAATCGGAAATATTTATTACTGTGCGAGATATTTTAATAAATTTTTACAACAGGTGAGAGAAAAAGATAGTTTCTTCTTAAACTAACAAAAAGTTTTTTTTAAACATATGCAGAACTTTTTTTCTACGAGTTTTAGATTAATTTGTAATTAGTGATATGAACCGTGACTTGTTCCACGCTTTTAACACATCGGGAACAAACATATGGATTTACGTTTTGTTTTTTTATATTTAAGTATCTAATTTATTTTTAATTCCAATAAGTTGATTTGGAGGTTTATAATGATGTGTGATTTAAATTCGATTGAATGGAGGCCGATTAATTTTACAGTTAGGAAACTGGTTTTAGACCGAAAAGTAATGGCGAATTGTTATTGTATTTATTTACAATTGTTTTTTTTTTAAATAATTATTTATTTTATAATATGCAAATTGATTCAGCAGATATTTAATCATTTTTAGAATTTTTATTAACAAATTATGACTTTAATGTCATTATAATAATGTATTTTTGTTTTGTTAATTTTAGGATTTTTTTTTTTTTTTTTTTTTTTTTTTTTGGAAAATTTAAAAGTGTCTTATAATGGTTATAATTCTAGTAATTGTTTTATTTAAACTTAAAAAAAATTAAAATTTCAATTTTTTGATGAAGAAATTTTTAAAAAGTGATGAAAAATAATTTTTTTTAAAAGATTACATTTAAATATACAAAATTGACAAATTAATGATTTTAATTTGAGGTTATGGCGTATTTTTAACAACAGTGTAAAAATAATATTTTAAAGCCTCTAAAAATATTTTTATTCCAGTTACTTAATAAATACTTACTAAATAAAATTATAGGTTGAAAAGAAGAAAAATTAGTTAATATTTCTTCTTTTAAAAATAACTATTAAATAAAATTAATGGTTAAAAAGAAGAAAAATTAAACAACATGGCTTCTTAAACATGAGAGAATGTGACACTCCACACCACCCAGCAGAAAAATTAAAAACAATTAAATTTTTCAGGCGATTAAATAATTTAAACTTAAAATCGTTTGGACAAAACTTGAGAAGTTTATAAATAAAATTCGCTAGATTAAAATAAAAGAATGAAAAATTCCTCGGATGACTTTTACTCGATAGAATCCAATAATAGCAAGCCATTATTAAATTTGAAAGTTAATAATAACTATGGTGTAGACGTGTAATTTTTCTAAATTACCCAGTAGAGTTTTAATAATAAAATTAATTATTATTGATTAATAATTAACATATAATTAACCCGGTATTTCCGGTGTTTCGCTCGGTAAACATTAAATTTAAATGAAAATTAATTTAGCTGACATTTAAAAATTATTTTTCATTAAAAAAATTTTTTTGTTCTAATTTAATTATTAAAAAATTAAAAACGTCATTTAGTATTGTTAAATTTAATGAATTGAAATTCAAAATATTGGAGTAAATAAATAAAAAATAAAAAAAAGTACTTATTATCATAAATATTAATATTAATATTCTGTTTTCCTTTCGTTTTAATTATTTTCTTGAGCTCTTAGTAATCTCGAGTCTTTTCACTCATCTCGTTGGATTTTTTTCTCTTGGATTTCTTTTTACTCTTTTATTATCCCAAAAAAAATCGCGCTTCCAAATATAAATGGGCTCTTTGCTCAACCTAGTTCAGCTTCAATGTAAAATAACGTCTACTGTTAAACACATCCACAACGATAAAGTTAACTTATCTTTTTAACAAACTCCTAATTTTAAAATACAAATAAAGTGTTTTTATTTAAATTGCCGTGGCAATCACAATATAAATAAAACTATCGTATCTAAAAAATAATAATAATTATTAAAAATGAACAAGCACAATTCTTGGCAAAATTATTTTTTTAAAAAATTCATATGTTGCGTTGATAGTAAAAATGATTTAAAAAAAAATAATGAGTTGACTTTTAATGACAACGAATTAATAATTAATGATGATGAAGATCATCAGAGGAATAGTTTATTTTTTGATATGGATTTTAAATTTATTGATGAAGAAGATGGTAATTTTTTTTTTTTAATTAATTATTATCTATTTGATTTCTAATCACTGTTTAATTGTCCCTAGAAGAATTGGATGGTCCAAATGCTGATAAGATACGTGATGCCTGGGTGATTGCATTAGAAAGGTAAATTTTTTTTTTATGTTATTTTATTAAAAAAAATATTACAATAATAATTTTTAAAGTTTAAAAAAAATAAAAACTTATTGTAAGATTAAAAAAAAAATTTTTTTTAATCAAATTATATTTTTTAGAGGCGCAAGAGAACGTTTGCAAAAATTACCAGCATTAAAAAAAGTAAAGCCACGTGATATCCAGGCAATATTACATCAACAGGTAAGATAATGAAAAAGTTATATTATTTTTTATTTCACTGCTTAATTTATTGAGAATACTCCATTAAAATTAAGTGCTAATTGCTGAAATTATTTTTTTGTATTTAACTGCTTTATGATTATTAAATTACGCTCATAAAATCGGTAATTGTTTATCGAAAACGGAAAAGCAGAAAAAAAAAAAAAAACGTAAATATACAGTGGAACTAAATTGCGGCTTTATCCATTGGCACAGTAATTTATACGCATATATATGTATATGAGTTAATGATTATCGCTTATCTTTATCTCTTAATCTCTTTTATATTTCTATATGTACATACATATCTACATTGTAGTGTAATTACACCACATACCACGATAATTAAATCTGTGGATCAAAACGACGTTATATAAGTTTTATTTTGTATTCAAACTTACTTAGCGTAAACTAAAAAAAATTCCTAAAGGTCACTGCTACAATTTTATGTAAAAAATTTTTTTTTTTTTTTATTTGATAATTATTATTATTAGATAAAAATTAATTATGTAAAATTTTGATTAAATTGATGACTAGGCTTTTTAAAATAAATTTTTTTAATGGGCGTTGATGATAAAGAGCTTAATCATCAATAAATTGTTTTTTAGATCAATGAAGAAAAATCAGCATCGACAAGCAAAATCGAAACACCAATAAATAAAGACTCTAATAGTCCAAATAATCATATTACCGTAACACTTGCTGATGGGTGAGTTTTTTTTTTTTTTTTTTTTTTGTATTTAATTTTTTTTAAATTGTTGGTTAACTTTTTTGGGGTTTTATTTGAAGACAAACGGTGAACCGTACTCCACCCTCAAAATTAAGCAATGGAACAGTGCCAAAAAGTATAAGTAACGATGATAATGAAGTTTTGATAAGTAAGGATGATCATTATAGTAACAAAGAAGTTTTAGAAAAACAACGAAATTATTCTGACGAACCAAAATTACTGGTAATTAATTATTAATGTTTAATAATGATTATTATTCTTTTTAAAATATATTAATAATATTAAATTAAAAATAGCATCCATCAGTAACGTCAAAATTAGGCGAAAGACGATCGAGTAGCCCGTTTCAAAATGGCAGAACAGAAGTCCTGATCGGAGAACCAGAAGGTGGACCAAGATCTCCACGTGGTTCAACTTCTTCGGCGATTAATGACTTTCTGAGTACCGACAATCCAGAACCTATTTGCAGGTAATTTATTATTAAAAACATTAATTTATTGAGAAGAAAATGAAACTCACCCTCATATTTAAGCCCAGCATATTTTCTCTTTACAAAAGTGTTTTCTCGTATTTACAATTTATTCATAGGCCATAATAGAAATAGTCCTCAATTGACAAAGAGATACACGAGTATTCACATGCAGATGAATAGAAGCCTTTTTATTTTTCTCCTTCTGCTTCTCTTTTATCCTCGCAGTTGCTAATAAAAGAATATTTTTGACAACAATCGTCGCTTAAACTCTTATAGGTTACATGATACTCTTTAATTACATTTATCTGGTTGAATGAGCCAACCTTAGTGTATATAACGATTATCATGATGATCGTAAATATTTGTTTTGTTAAATTAATTTTTTATCTCCCAATTGAGGCCATGCGTTAATCCAGCGGGGATATAAATGTATCAAAATATTATCTTAACACTCTGATGTGTGATTCACTTTAACAACATCTGTTTTGTTATCTACCGCTACTGAGTAATGTGTTTGTTTCAATTTATAAATAACAATTGATATAAACTGCTAAAAGTATGTCGTTTTATCAATTCTAAAAATTTAAACTTTTTTTTTTTAGTCAATTTTTTCTTATAAAGTTCCAAATTTTCTTTCAATTCTAATTTTATCTTCAAATCTGTGAGAAGAAATAAAATTTTTTCAGTAATTTTTTACCAAAATAAAAGCAAGATTTAGAATAGATCAGAATGAAAAAATCCCAGTGAATAGATACTGATCTAAAAATTTTCCAAGGGTACGTTTTAAATTCTTAGAAAAACTCCTTTGATACTTGCCCATCTTTCAAGATAGAAATATATCTGATGTTAGTATTGGTAAAGCACCTGCGTTAACAAACAGAGGAGCATTGATAGTCAGTGGAGCTTGAGTTTGTCGTAAAAAAATAATAAAATACACCTGACAGCCGGAAACCCCAGTACGAATGAAACCCGGACCCTCTTTTTCTACCAAACTACATGCGTAGTAGCCCCTTTGCATTTAACATTATGTTTTTCAACACCTACGGACTAATACCAACAAAAGATGACTACGACCATAACGTACAATAAGGTCTTTTCACCCGTAACTTTCAACCTGCTCTTATAATACGTCCGTATATGTTCCCTGTGTAATGTTGTTCTTGAATTTAGGGGTCTTGAGGCCCTGAATGGAACGCCTCCTCCGATGAGTCATCCGGACACCGCGAGTTTGGTATTAGGGTAAATCCCACAAACATATGCTCACTTGAAATTCATTTTTTTTATTGCTAGTAACCTTTGAAAAAATATTAACCTTTTATTTTTGTGTTGGGTGTTATTAATTTTATAATTAACATTCTTTAAAAAAATTTTTTTAGACATGATTTGTTGTTGGTTTATAATTAATGTTAGGGAAAAATTTGGTTCAACCTACAAACATAGTACTTGGTATTTTTTTTTATTAAAATTTATAAAAAAATAATCTGCGAATAATTAGAAAAAAAATGTAGATTATAAATTAAAAATTAAATATTTATACTATTAACAGTACAAAGTGTAAAAATACATCAATTTAAATATCTAAATATAAATATATATATATATATATATGTATGTATATACAAGTGAAACATTAGATAAGAGATATCAGGTGCCACACTGATGATAAATGACATTCCGACTTAGTTTTATTTCTCATTGTCTCAGTGCTTTACTTAGCTATTTTACTTTGTTAATTACACACTATGTAATACCTTCTTTTACTATTATATTATTACCATCATTAATAATAGTAACTAATAGTCTTACAGATAATAACGTTAACTGTTTTTATACAAAAGTGAGTACCTGGCTTCATATATATATATATATATATATATCGAATTACTTATAACATAACTTGTAATATACTATACTAGTCCCATTTTGTGCGTAGTTTTTTTTTCTCTGGATTTTACATCAAAGAATGCCGGTTCGTGGAAATAGTCCTTGGAAATAAAAAAATACATGTGGAGCTTTGTAATATGAGACTGTGCTCATAAAAAAAATCGTGAAAAAGAATTAAAAAATATTTCATGTGGAGAAAAATTTTTTTTTGATGGAATATTTAAAAGTGGCAATTTTTTTTTTAGTAATAAAATTTTTTATTAACAATAATTTAGTTATAAATTATAAAAAATAAATTTTTTTTGAATTACTAGGACATTTAAAGGCAACAAGAAAAATTTTTTATTGCCAAAGGAAAGAATACAAATTTAAAAATATAACAATTGACGTCACGTGTGTAAAAATAAATTTATCGATTAATTTAATAAGACAACGGTTGGTGTTTTCCTGAGATAGAGAGATAGCAGAAATAGAAATAGATATGTTGAATAATTTAGTGAGAAATTGAGGATCTAATTTAAAAATACCAGGTAGATATTGAATGAACGTAAACATGGATATTCTGGAGCGCAAGATAAAATAAATGGCTAAAATAAATAAATAAAAAGGTAAAAAGCAATTCAGATGCTGGTAGGACTCGGGTTGGGTACTGCAAACACTTTGCTTTGAGAACAGAGGGTCAAGCGGGCTCCTACCTCGGTCCACTGGTCCTTTTCTTGACCTTTCTATATTTATATCCTTATTCTCGGTACCTAGGATTTAAAATTTAAACAACTTGGGCTAAAATACTCTCTACCCTCTTCCAATACATAATACAAAAGATCTTTCCGAGAAGATTTACAAAAATCCTTTTATTTCTCAGTTTAGAGTTTAGGTTTAGCTCCAACGCTGGAATTCACCTTTAGACTTTCTATTTATCATTCAGTTGAGTCATTCAAGAAAAATTTTGCGAGTATCCCTGATGAGAAAATTCTCACTCATATTTTCTTCTAAACTTTATTTAAAAATTTAAACAAAAATAACTCCAAAAAATTTTTCTTAAATATTTAATTATTTTTTTTTTTTTTAATTTTCACACAGAAAAAAAAATAAAAATGTCTTTAATTTTCTCCAAACAAGATTTAAAGCTTTCTTCAACAATTTAAAGTTTGTCATTGAAAAATTATAAACGCTTACAACCATCGAAGGTCCAGCCTATTGTACTCGCTGTATATTTTAAAATTATAAATGGACTGTAGTATTGTATAGTGAGTAAATAATGCTTCAGTAATCATTTTTTATGAATGCACTTAAAAGTTATAAAAATTTCTGACTTGGCAAAATTACCATTTTTCATTTCTTCACTAACTTCTCAATGTTTAAATAATTTAAAAGTTCTTTCTTTAAATTTATTAAAACTTCTAACATTAACTAACCGTGACACCCTCCGCTAAAAAAATTACGGAAGTAAGAAATTACTATTTCAAAAACTTTTTACTTAAAAAAATCAAATAGCTTCTTGAAGAATACTTCATACCATAATGTCATTTTAATAAAAAATTCATTAATCAGCAAGAGTCTGATTACATATAGTAAAACAAGTAAGCGTAAAGGAAGATCTCAATAATAAAAAAAAAAAAAGTTAAGGATCACTTTGCAAACAAGAACACAAAACCTTATATCAGTAATCATTATATCTTATGTTTTTTTCCCATGACCATGAAGATCAGATCCACACTCACATATAAATTTATCCTAGCAAAACGTTATATACGTCATATACATCTGAGAAAATATTGCAGTGACTTTAACGCTCCAAAAGAAAGATTGACAATTATTTTTAAGAATATTTTATAAGTAAAGACGCCCTCCTCAGAGGGCGCTTTGTCATTTTTAAAAATTAACATTTTTCTGAATTCTTTGGCATAAATATACATTTTTTCTGGCTGGTATTGTGCATCGTACACACAAATACGCACATAGAGGCACACACATTGACATTAACAAAACAGTAAACGCATTAGGCTTTTACCTGAATGCATTTCTGCACTCTTGAGTAGTAGGGATATATATTTGTGTGGTACACACTGAAAAATGTGTGTCCGTGTAATAGTAGAAGTAGGGGCCACCTTCATCCGGGAAGTCGTGGCCGAGGGGACTGGTAAACCAGCGAAGCCAACAAACTCAGTGTAAAACCGTCTGAGCGTCACTACAGACCTTTATATGAGCATTTTTTTTTTTTTTTTTTATAAATAAATAAATATTGTTCAAGTTTTAGAAAATAAATGAGCCAAAAATGTTTAAAGTTTAAAGGATAATTTTTAAGTGAAATTTTGAAACTTATAGAGGAAAAAATGAACTTTTCTTCCCAAGATTCTGACACCAAGTTCAGAATGATTCATAATTTTTAATTTAAAACCTGACACGGTGTGCGTAGTTTGTAGTTGTGTGGGAACAAAACAGGTTGCTTGGAATGTGATGACGTAATATTAATGAAAAATATTTTTTTAGTGATAAATGTGGTGGAAAAAAAAAATAAATAAAATAATATTGTTTTAAATAATAAATAAAAAATAGTGAAGTAAAGCAGAATGGAATTTAAGTGGTGAAGAAAATAGTTTTATTTAAATAATTGTTTATATTTCTTCATCATGTAAGATTTAGAAATGGTGGATTTTTTAAAAGGAAAGCCGGTTTAAAGGCCGGTAAGATATTTACAGCTAAACTGACGTTAATGCACTTAAATTCATGACTAACAAACTCATTACTAAGGATACTAATTAGGATAATGGAGAATTTAAACGATTTTGAATTTAAATTTTAAATCACAGATGCTTGGTTACTTTTTTTAAACAAAGTTATAAATAAAAGACGACTGCACCCATAACAGGCGCCCACGTACACACTACGCTGAGAATACTTAACAATTAAAGTATAATTAAATACCAAGTTGCATTTCATTTAACTGTTAGATTGTTGTTATTAAAAGCCACCATGAGGATCCTCAAAACATTGCATTGGTAGGTTTTATAATTATTCTTGCTTTTATTTTAAACATCTCAATTATCTTCTGAAGAAATTACTCTTATTATTTTTTAATAAATTATTTGACAAATATTTTATTAAAATTTTAGATAAAAATTAAATAGAGTTTACAGTGGAATTTTTGTTAGAAAAAATAAGAAACATTTTTATTTTTTAACGGGAATTTAAAGTTGAATCATTCAGCGGCTTTGCGAGCTCTAACAATCTAATTACTATCATTACACACGTTAAGTTGGTTAAGAAAAATCTAGACAGCTCAAAATCTTTTATTTATTCATTTTTCTAACAGTACTTATTTAATACTTTTTATTTTGATATTTTTTATTATAATAAAAAATTTCTTAAAGAAGAATATAGTTAAATTTTTTTATTCTGAGTTTTTAAAATTATTTAAATTAAATTAATTAAAAAGAAGAAATATAAAATCAATAAAATCCTTGAAAAAACGCGTAAAAATTTTTTAGTTCATCAAGAAGATGAACAATGGCGTACTTAGATGCTTGAAGTGATATATCTAGATTACTTGACTTATCACTTGTCTTTTAAGTATGTACCCAACTCTTCTAGGGAAGATCTTTTTTCTAAACAAGTTCCACTTATATTTTTCATCCTCGCCAAAATATAATAATAATACACTTGTTAACTTACAAGTGGTTGAGTTGTATTGTTGTGTCCTCTTGTCCTTCGGTTAAAAACTTGACTCGAATAGTTTATTTGATACTTCAAGGGGATTAACATCTATCCTCGTACTTCATAATAATCACGGCTCATGAATTATTTACGTATTGTATGTATTATAAAAAAAAAAACACACACACACACACACACATTCATTTTTAACTTTAATTTTAATCCTTAGATATTTATCATAATAATCACATAGAAACTCATTTCGTAGGATTATGTATCGTTAATATTTATTAAAAAATTAACAGTCCCAAGGGATCGTCATTTTTTTATTTTTTTTTCAAGGAGTGGTTACTGGATTTTTATTTATTTTTAGACCAGTAGCTCGATTAGATAAAAATAAATTAAAATTGACATAATTTATACGCCTAAATTCCATAATGTGTCATTTTGTAATCTAAAGTCAACTATTTGTCTTAAATATTTTTATTTGGACTGTTAGTTTTATTGTTTGATAAGATAATCGAATTTTTTTGAGGTAATACGGAAGAAAACTTTCAAGTCAAAGACAGCTGGGTCGTAAAAAGAGCATTAAATTCGGTTTAATTAAATTATTAAATGTCAGGGTGATTGTAAAAGTGATTTTAAATGTTTATTTGAATTTTTTTTTTTTTTTAATTAACAATATATAAAAAATTAATAAAATTAAATAATCGAAATTTATTGTATGCTTTATAATATTTAAATAATGGGTGTCAATAACTAGTTGATAATTTTTAAGTTGAATCTTATATTGATAGCCAGTCGACAGCGCTATCACGCCTTTATTTTACTATAAACTAAAAAATTTACTGTATAAGAGTTTGAACTCTTCTGATTAAATAAATTATTTTTAAATTAAATTTTATATTTTTAATAGTAATTAATCATTTATGAAAATTATTATTAATAAACTTTAATAATATTGATTACTTAATAATAAGTTTCGATAAATAAGAATAAGCTGATGATTCTAGGGATGCTTAGTATAGGTGTCAATAATTGGGGCTAAGGTATGTCAATAATTAGATCAATCAGTTTTTTAACCTGTCAATAATTGGTGTATCCGGATACTCTATTTAATTATTTAAAATTAATTAGTAAATATGACTGATTATCAATTTAAAGAAAGAAATTGATTAGTAAAAATATTACTTGAGACATTACCTCAAACAAAATTAAACGATATTGATATTTGATTGCTTAAAAAAAATCAAATCATAACTTTGTCTCTTACAGTGTCAATAATTGGAGCTTTTACCTTATCTAGAAAAAAAAAAAAAATTACGTGATCAAATTAATTTAAAAGGAAATAATTCCGTTACGAAATGATTGAATTGAAAAAATAATTGAAAACTCAGCGTCTCTTTTTTATTTTTCAATTCTATTGTATTATTTTATTTAGTTCACAGTATATCGATTAACACATGTAAATGAACACGTACATAATCTATAGATAGGAATTTGTGTTACGATGAACAAAGAAACACAACAAAAGTAAAGTCAGGACAATAGCCAGCAATAATAAACCGCTGTACCGCTGTACCGCTGTACCAGTGCGGTTACGCACCAACCGTTGATCAAATAACTCTCATTCAGCCATTTTTTTTATTTATTATCCTTTAAACACGCATACCAAGTAAATTTCATCTCCAACGGTCATTTTCATTCAGCTGAAAAATTATTTAGATTTTTTGCTTTATTTCTTTAGAAGCTTTAAAAATGTTAAAAATTCCTGAGAGAAAGAAAAGGGCGTCTGGCGTCGGGGGTTCAGTTATCTTTTTTTATTCTTTATCGCTTTTTTTTTTCAAGGTGTGTTGTATATGATAATGTTGAGACGCTAATGCACGTGATCATTAGGAACTATTGCTCTTTGAAGTATCATCAAAGTTTCTCTTTTCTTTTATCATTATTGGAATTAGCAAGTAAACGAGGAACATGTTTTTACACATCGTTGAGTCACCAAAGCTACCGAGACGATTTCTAAACAAAAAATTACTATTTTTATCGGTATTTTCTCAAGGGTATTACTCATTGATTACATCAAGGGTCTAAATATTTTTAGATAACAAAAATTGGAAAATTTTCCAAGTTTTTGGTCTTTTTATAAGGTTAATTAATTTAAGTATCAAAATGTCAATAATTGAGGCTTTTACCGTACTTTAAAATTATTAAAATATGTAACTTTTGAAATTTTGATTTAAAAAAATAAGTTTGGAACAAAATTTGTAGAGAATTTAATAATCTACAAAAAAGGTCTTGTAAATTTCGATAGAATGGATTATTTTAGGAGCTAGAGGCAGTTGAAATTATTTTACAACAGGTTATGGGCCCGGGGCGCAAAATTTAAAGATCTTAATCCAAAAAAGGAGCGCTTATAAAAAATAAATTAAGTTAATTACCAAAAAGTAATTCAACTTTAATTGCAAGTAATAAAATGTCAATAATTGGGGACTTGAAAATAATTTTAAAACCTTTAAACTGACCAAAAAAATTTGTTCCAGGTCCCGCCGGCGCAGCGCCACCAGCGTGAACGACATCCAACTGCAAAACAACAATAACTCTCCATCGCTACGTGAATCAAAGGATTCACGTAGCCCCCACATTCCTCCAGATGAGATGTGGGTCCCGGGGGTAACCCCGGGTCACCACCGTGAGTTACCAGTCGACGTTCCCGACACTCTTCTCCAGCAAGCGTACGCAAACAATAAGGTAATCTTACCACTGTCACCTCCCCCGGCACCACCACTACCAAAAACAACCGACTCTCCAGTAGCAGTAACAGTTTACCCGTCGACAAAGTTAACTACCACCACCAACAACAACAACAACAACAACAACAACAACAACAACAACAACAACCAGCGGCCCGGAAACGATTTGCCGCTTTCAGACCTGCGCGAGCTAACCCTAAACATTAAAAACGATTCATCTTATCACCACAAAAACCTTCATCATACCCCGCGAAATAACCTAGACGCTGCGCTCCCAGTCAACGATCTCTCCGGCTTCACTCACTTAATCGAAATAACAGTTGACAAAAATTCAGATAACTCCAGCAACGACTCCACCACCAAGTCGCCGATCCTCTCGATATTCGACGAGATAGACAGTCCGACCAGCAACCACTCTCACCTTCAGATAAAGGAGTCCAACGTTGACATCGACGACGACTACCCTTTCGCCAAAGAAGACTATCCCACCATGCTAAAGACCTGCAGCGACGATTCCGCGAGTCCTAGGTCTTCCTCAGGCCGGTCTGACTCGACAACCGCTTTAGATACTAGTCTAATAATCCCCGGAAAAGAGTCTCCGCTGTACGACGCGAGAAGAATAGACCTGGGCTCTCCCTGTCGCACTATTCCGGATCTCAGTATCTACGGAATGACCCGCGAGACAACCTCCTTTGATAATCCAGCCTACGGACTGGATTTGCATCAAGGTTTGCTGATCCGGTCTGATGAAGTCCTAGATCTTAGAATCATCGGAGACAATTGCAAGAACTGCGAGATAATTCCCATCGGAAAGCCTGAAAAATCTCTGGGTAAAAAAAAGAAACCTAAGAACACTTCTAGCTTTGATGTAGATCTAATTGCTGCCAAGTCTACCGATGATCTGCTGGCTGCTGATCTCACGGGGTTCGTTGCTAGAACCAGCATCAAGAAACCCCCGAAAAAAAGCAACCTTCCAGTGCTTCCAACTCCTCCGCCTTTGCCTCCGCAGGTTCCGACTATCAACGGGTATTCCACTTTGAGAAATGACAGCCACAAGAGCAGCTCTCGAGGATTTAGAGAAGTCGCAGTTGATTGTCCTCCGGACTTTATTCCGGTGACTAAAAGCCACCCGATTTACCCGCCTCCGAACAAGCTCGAGGCGAAGAATAAAAACAGTGATAGCAAAGTATTAACTGATAGGAGCAAATCTAAAGAGAGTGTGGTTGCGTTGGATGACAATGATGGGCAAAAGGTAAGACTAAAAAGTCTTAAGCACCCGGGTAAGCTTTTAACACCACGACCAATTTCTGTATTGTCTAACACTATTCCTAACATAAGCCCTAACAAGATTATGAAAAATCGAAAAACTCTTCCGATGTCTTACAGACTTTCTGATGACGATAAAGCCGCTAATTTTGCACTGATGATTGATGATGACAACTCCTGTGTTGGGTTATCATTCTCGAGACTCTATAGCTTTCGAAACGAGAGCTTTGATAATAAAACAAACAGCATCAAGTCGATGGTTAATAACAATGATGATGTTTTGGGTACAGATAGGGATTTTGATCAGTCTAAAGTAAATGTTTACTTGGACAATGCTGAAAACACCGCGTTGTTTAACGCCTATGAATCCTTATCGCTTCCCTCTTACGCTTCTACTGCTTCTTCTTCATATTCTTCACTATCATTAAAGAGTAATTGTCACTTTAATCTAAACACAAACGACGCTTGTTTAATCCTTACTTCACCACACCATTCTTTAAGTTATAATAATAATAATAATCATAGTTTTAATAATAATCATTGTAATAGTAATGATAATAATTATAACAATAAAAGTGTAAATGATGGTATACAACGGGATGTAGAAGCAGTAGATAGTCATCAAGATCACAAGGTAATTGGGATGGATAAGTTTTTTTTTTTTTTTTTTTTTTTTTTTTTTTTTATCACTTGGTGACGGATGCATGAAAGGTGATGGAGCTTTAATTATTTTATTAAATTTATTTAATATCATCGTTTTATAGAGACATTTTTTATCATTGTTTGAATTTTAGATTATAGTGAAGAAAATTTGAAGAAATAATTTTTTAATAAATATCTAACAGCTAAAAAATTATTTATTAGGGTTGTTATAAAAAAATTTTATAAATTAAACATAGTAGAACTTTAAAAACAATTAAATAAATATCCTAAAATGGAACAAAGAAAATGGTGAAATAAATCTCAAAACTAATACAAAAAATCATTTTAAAAAATATCTTGGAAAATGATTGAAAAAAATATTCTTGAATTTTAGCTAAATAAATAATGAAAAAAAAAAAATTATTTTATTCTGATTTGTTATTTTAGGGTAATGGCGTTAAACCATTATTACCACCGAGAGATCAAAAACGTGCGCCGGCTCGCCCGCCAAAAGATAACCTACGTTTATCCACGCGTAATAGTACTATTAATGATAACAATGACAATACTAGTAGTAATACCGGAATAGAATCATCGATAGTATCACAACCGACGCCACAGCAATTGCAAACGATCCAAAAATACAAGGTAAATTTTTTATTTTAAAAATTTTGGTTGTTTTGCTTACTTTATTTATCTTGTTTATTTAGGAACAATTGAGACAGCGCAAAGACTTTGAGGAGAGACGGGAATTTCTGAACCAATCTTTGCGCGGTTCACAGAAACTCCATGCTCTTGAGAGCCATGCCAAACAACTTGCTGGACAGGAAAATCCGGCTTACAGCCAAGATGAGGTTACAAACACTACGGGGAATGTACGGAAGGAAAAAGAACAAACTTCGGGTCAAGCTAGTCCGAAAGTTGCTGCTGATGAATTGCCAGCAGAAGATCCGAAAATTTTATGTAAGTTATTTATCATCTTTCTCATTTTTAATTTTTTTTTTTTTTTTTTAAATCATTTTTATTTTATGATAAAAAATAATCTCCGCCCGTCGTAATATTCAATCACATTTAATCCTCTTGGCGAGATAAAAAATACGTCCATCACACCTCATTTTTCTCTTTAGGATATTTTTTTTTTTCACATAAAACCTTTGAGTAATATTACTTTTTTTTTTTATTAAAAAAAAAAACTGTGTTTAAAATTTTAATCCTATTCAAACTATATTATATATATTTAGACTCCATTCGAAAATGCTCTATCTCTAGATACATAATTAAGATATTACCTTGTATCTTGAGAACTATTGACATTTTTAAGGATATATCTTTAAAAACTTCAATAGTTAAAAATGTACAGTGCAATTTAACAAAAGTAATTATTTAATAAATCAAAATTTTATTTATAACAATAATAATTGGTAAAATGAATTTTGTTTTCCAGCTTACGGAGAAGTAGTAGCAACTCTGGAAAGATTACAATTACAATTAAGGAATCTATCAGGTGCCTTAGGTATATCAGGACCAGGAGTAGAAGCCGAATTAGAAGCAGTCCGTTCATTAGTCCAACAGCGTCGTTTCGCGACGGCATTAGCGACCCACAATTTTATAAAAACAAAACTTCATACCGGAAAATTGCACAAAGCTTACAATGATGACGCGTCAAATTTAGCGCGTGATTGCGTTGAATTATTCGAAGAATGTCAAACAACCCAGACTGTTAAATCGCCCGAAACATTAGCGATAATTGAAGAATTAACTGGGTTATTAACCAGTTATGACATGGAAGGATTATTATTTGCTCACGATTCAATAATTTCATATTGCGACGGCATACAATTAAAAGACGGTCCATTGTCATCGTCAGCAAGTGAGCAATCATTAAGTCGTCATTCGAGTTTGCGTGACTCGTTGCGTAATACCGATAATATTAAAATAATTAAAATAGAAAAAACCAATGAACCACTTGGTGCTACTGTACGTAATGAGGGAGATGCTGTCATCATAGGTAATTAATAAATAATTACTTTTTTTTTTTATTTATTTATTTATTTATTTATTTATTTATTTAGGACGCGTTGTCCGTGGAGGCGCTGCTGATAAATCAGGGCTGTTTAATGAAGGCGATGAAGTACTTGAAGTTAATGGCGTTGAAATGCGTGGAAAAAGTGTTAATGAAGTGTGCGACATACTCGCTAGCATGCAAGGCAGCTTAACATTTATAGTTTTACCAGCTTCGGCAGTCGTCCGCAGTAACAGTGACAGTAGTAGACTTGAAGATAATAATTTGGTAAGTTAAAAGTTAAAAAAAAAATTCTATTGTATACATATATGAAGCTAATTAATTTTATTTATTTATTAGATACATCACGTAAGAGCGCACTTTGATTACGATCCTGAAGAGGATCCTTACATCCCATGCCGTGAATTGGGTATAAGTTTCCAGAAGGGCGATGTATTGCACGTAATATCTCAAGATGACTCTAATTGGTGGCAGGCTTATCGTGAAGGCGAAGAAGATCAAACTTTAGCCGGCTTAATACCAAGCCAAGCGTTTCAACACCAGTGAGTATTATCAATTTATTCTATCCGATTACATAGATTGGATCTTTATTAATTAATTATTGTTTTTATCGTTACATAAGACGCGAGTCGATGAAACAAACAATAACTGGCGGTAAAACAACACTCAGAAGTTCGAAGAAGTCCAGTACGTTGTTATGTACACGGAAAAATCCAAAGAAAAAGAAGAAGAGGGCTAAATTTGGTGGGAGTATCAATGATGATGGTTATCCTAGTTATTCAACAACGACGATTGATGGTAATTTTATTTTTGTTATTATGATATTTTTTTAAATATGTATTATTAAGAGAATAAGCAAAATCTTGAGAACTATTGACATTTTTAAAGATATAAGCTCATTCTGATGTTATTACACTCATCAAGAGCTTTCATTTGAGCACCCACATCAATTTTTCATATATTTCATATATATATATATGTATATATGAAAAATATATCAAAAATACATGTGGGTACTCAAATGAAAGCTCTTGTTGAGTGTAACATCACAATGAGCTTATATCATTAAAAAGGTCAATATTATTTAAGAAAATACATTGCAATTTAACAAAAGTCATTATTTAATAAAGCAAAATTTTATTTATATAATTTTTTTGACTTACCACAGATTACGATAGCGAAGAAGTATTAACTTATGAAGAAGTAGCATTGTATTATCCTCGTGCAAGTCATAAAAGGCCAATAGTACTTATAGGACCGCCGAATATTGGACGCCATGAATTGAGACAACGTCTAATGCAAGACAGCGAACGTTTTGCTGCAGCTATACCACGTAATTAAAATAAAATTTTTTTATTATTAATTTAATTAAAATAAATTATATTTACTAATTAAATAATACTTACAATTAGATACAAGTAGACCACGAAAAGGATCTGAAGTTGACGGGCAGGATTACCACTTTATAACCCGGCAGCAGTTCGAGACAGACATCGTGGGTCGTAAATTTGTGGAGCATGGGGAGTATGAAAAAGCTTATTACGGTACATCTATCGAAGCAATACGTAGTGTCGTTAATTCCGGTAAAATTTGTGTATTAAATTTACATCCGCAGAGTTTAAAAATATTACGTAATTCGGATTTAAAACCTTATGTCGTGTTTGTCGCACCACCTAGTTTAGAAAAGTTGAGGCAAAAGCGAATTAAGAACAATGAAAATTACAAAGAAGACGAGCTTAAAGATATTATTGAAAAGGCACGCGATATGGAAGACAAGTACGGACATTTATTTGATATGATTATTATTAATAATGATACCGATCGTGCTTACAATCAACTTTTAACAGAAATTAATTCTTTGGAGAGAGAGCCTCAGTGGGTACCTGCCACTTGGGTTCAGTGATACGCCATTGATATTAATTATAATAACGTTAAATAAATTTATTCATCACAATTTTATTTTTAACGATTAACGATATTGCTTAATGCCAAATTATTTTTATAATTTTTGTCTATTGAGATTTTTTTATTTTTTTTTTTTTTTTTTTAAGGCATCATTACTTAAAAAGTGTAAATTATTATCATTTTAAAAAAACTTAAATTAATTATTTTAATTTAAAAAAATTAATTTTTTAATTGGAAATTTCAAAAAAAAAAAAATGAAATTTTTTTTTATTTTATTAAATTAAAATTTTTCAAAATACTCGGAGGTAAAATGATAAAAATTGTTTTAAAAAATAAAATATCAAAAATCATAAAATAAAATTCTAAATTGAAATTAAAAAAACCTAAAAAATATTTCAAATAATTTTTTACACAAATCTAATAAAATTTATCAAAAAGCATATAAATATATATATATATATATATATATATGAAAAGAGATTTTTTTTTTTTTTTTGTTGAATTTAAAATATTTAAATAAAAAAATGAGTATTAAAGACATATTTAAAAAAAAAAAAACTTAAACAATCATAAGAAAATCGTCCAGATAAATAAATAAATCTGTGCCAATAAGAAAATAAAAATATATATGAGAATGCCAGTAAATTGGTGTCTACGTATGAGTAAAAAATATCAAACTTAAAACAAATTATCAAGCGCGAAAATTTGTGACTAGTATATTTAATAAAAAATAATAAATAAAATAAAACGACTATAGAGTATTAAACGCTCATTATCACTTAAAATAAAATGTGTATAATAAATTAACAGATAGAAAAATCGTATAGTAGAATCGGTGTTTAGGAATCGTATTTCGAAGACTTAATTAATTAAAAATAAATGAGAACAAGACAAAAAAAATAAAAACTAGAATGAAAATATATTCGCCGTTTATAATTAAAATTTTCTTTTAATAATTTTTTTAAATTATTGTAAAGCTTGAAATTGTTGATAACAAAAATACACGTCCGTTGTTGTAAATAATTGTGCAATTGTATAGAAAAAATAATTAATTATGAATGAGTGTGTGATTAAAAATTATTAAAAACTAATGTAATTTTTTTTATTGATTATTGTAATTATTATATAATTGATTTATTGATTAATTAGTATTTTCATTAAATCATCTTCATTAATCATTAATCATTTATTGTTATTCATGTTTAACTTAATGTTAATTGAATAAAAAGTTGAAAAAAAAAAAAAAAAAAAAA